CAGTCGCACCGTGGGACGCTCCGTTCACAAGTAAACCAAACGAGCACAGAGAATGCATCCCCAGCGGCTCCCAACCGCAAGCACCCACCGCGAGGTGAGGGCTCTGGAGTGGGAGGGCCGAAGCAGGCAACGCACACAAAAGAAGGAAAAACACGCTGAACCCCATCCATCCACCAATCGCACAATTAACTAAAAAAAGAGGATAATAGCAAAAACAAACGCCGAAGCAGGCAACGCACACAAAAGAAGGAAAAACACGCTGAACCCCATCCATCCACCAATCGCACAACTAAAAAAAAAAGGATAATAGCAAAAACAAACCTACATACATCTTTCCTTGGCGGCCCGGCCCACACACGCACATACTCACCACGTGCTCCCAGCAGAAGCGCTCCCGCAGCACAACGCAACGGGCTCCCACTGGCTCCACCACCACGTCCCGCACGCGGGTCAAGGACAGGGAGTGGCACGCTCCGCAGGGGCACGGGGCGGCCGGTGACACATTCCACGTCGTTCGGCCACAGAGCACACAGAACACAAACCGGGACGAAGCAAATAATTAGGATACACATTAATATTTAACTCGCACACGTTAAAAAAACACAGTCATACAAAAAAGATTCCTTATTTTGTCAATCACAAGAGGGGTATATCACGTCCTCTGAGACCCGCCACAGACGAGCAACAGGCGACGTGTCGTTGCCGAAGCGCGCCATCAGTGCTGCGTAGTCGTCCTCCCTTATATGATGAACACACATCGAGGTCGGCACAACCTGAGATTCCCCCGTGTCACTGCGGGCTTGAAGGAAATGACAGGGCAGCACCTTGACGTGTATCAACGGCTGGTATTTCACTTCTTCCAACAACACGTGCCCAACCATCATGTCCTCGTGACCCATACCAATTGAGGAAAACTCCTCGTCACGCTCCTTGCTGTACGGTGTGTACGCCAGGCGCCGCAGCGGCTTGAACGACACCAACGCCTCCGCCACATCTCTCGACATCGTGTAACACCAGCCAACCATAAAATGCACACCTACTGAACGGCCATTCGCCCAGATATTTCCTCCACAATGAACCCCCATGTAGATCCTTCGGCGCGGCAGGAGGCGCAGGAGAGCAACGAACAGCGGCACACGGAGAAACATGTCGTCATCGCCCTTCGAAATGTACCTCGCGGTCGGAAACAGACGGAGCGCAAGGTCAAACCACATGTACACCTTTTGGCTCAAACCAATCTCCGCCTCAGTCCCAATTTCTCCACCAACGCCCGCCTTTTTTGTTGAGGACACGCGGCCCTCATTCATCGGCAGCGCGACCACATCCTGCCACTGCGCCGCCTCCTCCAGCAGCGCGGCAGAGTAGTCATAGCCGTGCGACGGGTGCCGCCCAAGAACGTACAGCACGAGCATCGCACCGGTGAAGTCGTTCGCCCTCGTCGCCACACCGGGGAACCGCCAGCACGTCGTCCGCTGCAGGTTGCGTCGTGTTCGCCTCTCTTCGTCGTCCGTGGAGGGAATGCCCAGCACAATCAGATACTCCCGCCGGCTCCACGTGTCCACAACACTGCGTGGGATGTGAGCAAGTGCTGCATCTTCCGCGGCAGTGACGCGCGAGTGGCGGAGGTTGTTGGGCTCCGGCGCCCCATCATCGGCAGCGGTGTCGAACCTGAGGGTCAGAACCGTCGTGGCCACAATGAAGAGAATCAGCAGCACAGTAACCCGCTTCAGCTTCTGTCTAAGCGTCGGCAGTTTCGGCTTCGCCATGGTCGCTGTTGGTGTGAGAGACTAAGCAAAAAAGAAAAAAAAAAAGAATGAAGCGAGCGTTCATCGGCATAACAGAAGTCTTTTTATTTTCTTTTCTGGTAATTTCGCAAATTGGTTCGATGACCCGCATTGCGGCAACGCGTGCCCCTAGACCTCATGGTGTTACAACGGCGCCCCAGCAAGACGCGGCTGGTCCGCGCACTGCTTTATTCCGGCCACCCTGCACCAACAACAACGACCCCGCGAAGAAAACGTTGCTGGCTTTCGGCTTCCGCCGACAATCCGGACAATTGGCCGCAATAAGGGTGATGCCCGCTTCCCCATGCATTTCCACCGCCGTTTCCAAATAATTCAAACTAACCATGCCAAAATGCAGCCGGTATTACAAAGCAAAAATATAAACGTCGGCAGCGCGGCGGTGACCACACAGCGGTGCTGTACAGGTTGAGATCCGCAGAGCTGCACTGAAGAAGAGGTAGCTATTATGTTTTTAAAAAATTACACTCGCATCACTCAGTGATGGACCATGGCGCCACGCCCACAGCGGACGGGGGAAGGGGAACCAGAAACGAAAGGGTCACGCACTCAAGGGTCAGTGAGGAAGCAAAATGGATCCGTTCGTCATTGGGCTGCGCTCCGGCAATTCGTTCCTCCTTGCTCTCATCATTCCACGCGTGCGGGGAGAGGGAAATGGAAGGGAGGGAGTGGAGAGGGGGAGCGCGGGGAACGGCCCTCAGCCTTGGCATTAGGTTCGTAGGCAGTTTGCGTCACGCGAAATCCATGGAGAGATGCCACAATCATCACAGGGCCAGGCAAAGCACACACGCACACACACGTGACGGAGGATCGGGGGGGGGGTGGGGCTCAGCGGCTGAATGGAATGGATCGTCGTGGGTCAAAGTGCTTCATGTCAGCGCCGCGGACACGCAGGCTCGCCGGCTCGACAAGAGATTCCCTTCTTTGCTCGTTCATCACGCGGGGCAACAAACCGCGGCAGGAGCGGCGGCGCGCCGTCAGGGCAAAAAGCGTCCTCACAGGCCAGCTCGGACTCATTACATCAGTTGTTGCTTGACGCATCACCGGCGCACCGCCACGCCCACAGCGGACGGGGGAAGGGGAACCAGAAACGAAAGGGTCACGCACTCAAGGGTCAGTGAGGAAGCAAAATGGATCCGTTCGTCATTGGGCTGCGCTCCGGCAATTCGTTCCTCCTTGCTCTCATCATTCCACGCGTGCGGGGAGAGGGAAATGGAAGGGAGGGAGTGGAGAGGGGGAGCGCGGGGAACGGCCCTCAGCCTTGGCATTAGGTTCGTAGGCAGTTTGCGTCACGCGAAATCCATGGAGAGATGCCACAATCATCACAGGGCCAGGCAAAGCACACACGCACACACACGTGACGGAGGATCGGGGGGGGTGGGGCTCAGCGGCTGAATGGAATGGATCGTCGTGGGTCAAAGTGCTTCATGTCAGCGCCGTTATTCGCTTTTCTAAAATGTTTGTCACTGCCTTTGTGTTGATTGAGAACGTTTCTCTTTTATGTGTTGTTGTGCCCTTCCTGATTCGGTTGATTACTCTGTAAAGAAAGTCAAAAAGAAAATTTGTAAAAGTGTAAATCAGTATCTGTGTGTTTGTGCGTTTAAGAAGGACGGTGGTGTGCGGTGGGTTGCAGGATTTAAGGGATAATGATCAAATGTAGTAATTGTTGTTGTTGTTTCGCAATTATTTATTTTTATTTTTGTTTTTATTTTTCCTTCTTGCTTGCTTGCTCTTCGTGCTGAAGTTGAGGTGGAGCAGGCATGCCAGACGCACAGATGTGGCGCTGTGATGGTGCAAAGGTCATCCCCCGTCACCACCCAGTTTAAAAGCGTTTCATTTATCGTCCCATATTTTTTTGATTGTTTTTTGTTTGCTTGTTGTTGGCTCTTCGCTGCTTCCACCGCACCCCTGCAGATTTCCTAGTATAATGATGCTCGCCGTGTCTCAAATGTTCATCTTTGCGCTGTGCGGTGTTAACATTGAGAGCTGGTGGGTGGTGGGGGTGACGGAGTTTTAGAGGAGAGGTACGCCCTGACCGTTAAGTAGCGTGCCGGGTGGGTACGTGAGGGAGCTCGAGGTCTCCGGCTTCATGGCAGGAAAGAGAAGAACCTCCTTGATGTTCGCCTGGCTAGTGAGGAACATAACGAGACGGTCAATACCCAGCCCCCAGCCGCCTGTCGGGGGCAATGCGTGCTCCAGTGCCTGAACAAACCCCTCGTCGATATCCATCGCCTCGTCGTCGCCCTTTTCTTTGTTCCGAAGCTGCTTCATGAACTCCTCCCGCTGCACTATTGGGTTGTTAAGCTCGGTGTACGCGTTGCAGAGCTCCTTCTTGTTCAAAAAGAGTTCAAATCGTTCTGTTAGTTGAGGGTCATTACGGTGCCACTTGGCGAGGGGCGACATGACACGTGGGTGATCGCAGACAAAAGTCGGGTCCTGGCACTCCGGCTCCAAGTAGTGGGAAATCAACGCATCCAACAGGCGTGCCGTTGTAAGCGGGGGGGTGCACTCCACCTCGTGTTTACTGCACAATTCCTGCAGAAATGCGTTGGATGAGTCGCTCTCGAACTCGGTGGGGAACTTAACGTTCGTCCGCTTCTCCAGCTCCGGAATGATGTACAGGCGCTTAAAGGGTTTGTTGAAGTTAAAGACCACCTCAGCAAGTTGATTGCCCTCTGAGTCCTTGGGGGCATACTTGACGAACGGTGTGCCGTGAATGTGCATGGCGAGTCCGTAGAAGAGATCCTCCGTGGTGCGCATCCAATCATTGTAGTCGGCGTAGGCCCAGTACGCCTCGACACTTGTAAACTCCGGGTTGTGTGTGAGGTCAATGCCCTCATTCCTGAACTGCTTGCCGAGTTCGTACACGCGGTCCATCCCGCCCACAACAAGTTCCTTCAAGTACAACTCGGGAGCAATGCGCAGGTACATCCTCTGGTTCAATTCGTTGTGGTGCGTGATGAATGGACGGGCGGCGGCACCACCGGCGATTTGGTTCAGCACCGGCGTCTCCACCTCAAGAAAGTTCAAGTCTTCAAAAAAATTCCGAATGTATCGTATGACTTTAGAGCGCGTGACAAACGTTTGTATGTTCTCGCGATTCACAATAAAGTCCAGGTACCGTTGGCGGAAGCGCTGCTCAATTGAGCTCAGCCCGTACCAGCCATCGGGCAGCATGTGGTAACATGTCGATAGCAGGGTGATCTCAAACGCGTTCATGGAAAACTCCCCTGTCTTTGAGAGCGATGCGACGCCCTTCACGCCGATGATGTCGCCACGCCTGATCCTGCCGTGAACGGCGGCAAACGTGTCATCCACGTAGTCGCTGATGGCTGAAATCACCTGCACGGTGTCGGCGTCCCCCTGCAGCGTCAAAAAGTTGAGCTTCGAGCCCGAGCTTCGCTTGTTGACAATCCGGCCGGCAATCGCCACGACCTCCTCGACACGTTGCCCTTTTTCGCTAAGCTGCGGGGCAAAACGCGCCTTGAAGGCAGGTATCGTGTACTGACGATCAAACTTGTGCGGGTACGCGGCGCCGAGGAGCCCTAACTCCTTCACCATCGCCAGCCGCGTGTCGAAGTAACTGAGCTCCGGCGCCTTCTCCACCTTCTTCGCAGGGAGTTGCTTCCGCAGCTCCGTCATTTTGGCAACGAGGGCCTTACACTCCTCGCTGGCAGCCCCCTTCTCCTTCTTTACCCGCGCAATCGCCGCGGCGAGATCGTCAATCTGGGCGCGCGTCTCATTCGTGGATGACATCCCCCCGAATCTCCTTTTCTTCCTCTCCCTCTCTCTGTGTTTGCGTCGCTCGTTGCTGTGTGCTCAAACTCTCACTCTTAGAGAAATCCACACACACCCCACGCCGCGGGACGGGAACAACAGAAAAAAAAAAAAAAGAGTGGCAACGCACCTCGCACACAGAATCCATGCAAACATGTCAAAGAGCACCCGCGCGTCTTTGCATAAGGCACGGACAGGAAATATATTTATTAATAGACCACATCTCTCCTTCTCTTTATTTCCTTCTTTCTAGCCCACGCACCCGCAACGCCTTTTCTGATGTGTTTTCCCTCGCTGGGGTGGAGAATGGTGTCATCCGCCAATAAAAACACCCGCATGCGTGGCATTTTTCTTTATAACAAAAGAAAAGTACCAATGAGTCAAGTAGATAGACACATGCACAAAAAGAAAAGGCATAAATAATAAAAAAAATATATATATAGCAAAATGCCCATAGACACGACTCCTCTTTGCTAATACCGTTTTCTATTTATATGTCCTATACAAACAAAAAAAAGCATAAAATATAAAAATAAAAAATAAGATATGCGGTCCTTATCATAACCGGCTACCGACTGCCGAGCCCGTTAATTGAGCCAGCGCCCTTAAAAGAATGCGTTCTGTCTTCTTCAAGTCTGCCGCCTCCACAAACTCGTTCGGCTGATGCGCGCAGAGGCCGCCGGGCCCCCACACGATGGTGTCCACCCCGCACATTTGGTAGTTGGGGGCCTCTGTGCAAAAGGGTGCCAGTACCATCTTGCACGACTCCTCGCTGGCGGCTTTTAGTGCCTCACAGACGCGACTGTCGCTGCGCCCCTTGAAGGCCTCCTGCTCATCCAGACAACTAGACTCTGTGCCACAGCTGCCGTCCTCCTCCTTCATCTTCTGTGCCGTCGCAGCAACAAAGTCATCAATGCGTTTCTGAATCTCCTTCCCGGAATGGCCGGGAATGTTGCGGAATTCGTACGTGATGTAGCAATCAGCCGGTACCGTATTTCTTGCATTGCCGCCCTCAACCATGGCGGGACACACGGTGGTGTAAGGCACATCGTATTCCCTCTCAAAGGGACCGCTGTCACGAAACTCTCGTCCAAGATCGCGCAGAAATCGCACAATTTCGGCGCCATGCTCAATGGCGTTGCAGGCATATGGAACCAATGATGAGTGCATCGCCTTGCCCCGCAGATGTACAATGCTGCTCCTGATGCCCTTGTGACCAACGACAAAATTAAAGTCCGTGGGCTCGCCAATAATGCAGCCCGCCGCAGCGCCAACAGGGATGCCGGCGTCTGCCACCAGCTGTCGAATGCCCGCAAAGTCCGTCTCTTCATTGTATGTCCAGGCAAAGTGGATCGGTTTCGCGCGCTTCATCTTGAGAAGCTCAGGGGTCATAGACATGCACACGGCAATGAATCCCTTCATGTCACACGTGCCGCGACCGTACAGTTTCCCATCCCGCTCCGTCAGCGTAAACGGATCGCTGTCCCACTTCTGCCCGTCCACCGGGACCACGTCGGTGTGGCCGGAGAGAATAATGCCGCCCTCCGTCACGCCGCCTTCACCTGGCAGAGTCGCCCACAGGTTTGCGTGGACGTCATCGGCGGCCCTTTGCACCACCACCTTTTCCAGGCCGCACTCATCCACCAGATATGCGCGGATGCATGCGATCAGTTCGAGATTTGAGTTCCGGCTTGTCGTGTCGAAAGCGATGAGCCGCCGCAGCCACTCGACAGAGTCCAACGGCATTTGTTATCGCCTCTTCTCTCGTCTACTCCCGCTGGAAAAAACAAAATAATAATAATAATAATAATAATAATAATAATAATAATAATAAATAAAGTAAAAGCAATCTTATCAACGATGACTCTCCTCCCCCCTCCTCTCCACCCCTCTTGTTGATGGTCGATTCCTACAACTCGGGAAGTCCTTTGTGTGGATATGCGTGTAGGCGAACTTCGGGCCTTCCTTCTCTTGCCTACGCGACGCCAAGAAAAATAAAATAAAATAAAATTTAAAAAAATAGAAAAGGAGTTTGCGGGTCAAGAAGAAATGCCGCAACAGTGGAGGCATCCACGGGCACACAAATACAAATACAAATACACAGACAAGAAAAAAAAAAAAGTGAGAGAAAGCGCGGCTGAGAGAGAGAGAGAGAAAGAGAGAAAGACAAAAACAAACAGTCAACGCCGCCCGCCTCACAGAAAGGGAAAGGGGAAAAGGAGGAGGGTTAGGGGTAGAAAAGAAAGTAATAAAAATGTCGGTGGTTGCCAATAATAATAATAATAATAATAATAATAATAATAATAATAATAATCGCCAAATTTGTTTTGTTTTGTTTTTTCTTTTTTTTTTTTTTCTTTTCGTTCTTTTATTTTATTTTATTTTTTGTCTTTTGTTTTTAGATCTGTTCTCATTCTTTTGGATTTGTTCATTTAACTGCACTTCGCGAAACACACACACACACAGTTAGCCAAATGCATACACACACGAGAAGTAAAGCAATTCCCCCCTACTACTACTCCTCCCCGCAGGACAAGGAAAAAGAAGTCAAATAAATGATGTTTAAAATATAAAACTGTTGCTGTTTGGGGGTATGCCCCCATCACAGTCCGCACAACAACAGCCAAAAAGAAATATATATATATATTTTTTTTTAGGGAGAGAGAGAGAGGGAGAGGGAGACCTCCGGGGGGACACGCCGTGGGTGCTACAACCCAAAATCCCCCTTGTTTACATAAATAAAACAATACATGTGTGTGCAATTTGTATGCGTTTATTTATTTATTTATTTATTTGTCCTCTGCATACATGTGCGCGCTTCCGTATCGTGTGTGTGTGTGTGTGTGTGACGGCGCCAGATGCGTACATATTTGCATCCCCTCTCCCCGGAGGAAAATCATCACAACAAATGCGGCACTGAAATTCTCACCTCATGACGTGTAAACCAAATGCGTTTCTCCCTCCTCGCACCCCCTCGCCCTCGTCCTCTCGCACATATGTATGTATATGTATGTATGTATATATTGTCCCCCGCCTCCAGCACTCAATTCATTCTGATTCCTCCTCTTACTCAAACTTTTTCTTTTTTTTATTTTTTTTTCTCTTTCCACTTCGCCTATTTACTACTGTTTTACTTCTCCCTCCTATTCTTATTTCTTTACCGTACGTGTATATATATATATATATATTACATGCATGTGTATTATACGCAGGCATTTAGAGAGAGAAAGAATGAGGAAGGATGGGGAGAGAAAAGAAGAAAAATTCTGCCGCACTTTTTCTTCCTTACCCCACCCCCCTAAATCCCCCCTCTAAACCCCTCTTCCTTATTTTTTTTTTCTCACTTTTCTCTTTAAATCGCGTCTCATCTCCCTATTCGCTTAGCGTGACGGTGTATTTTTTGTTCTTATTTTTGATAATATAATATAATTTAATATAACATATAAGTATGCGTGTGTTTTTGTGTGTGCTTTTTACTCAGTTCATTGCACATCAACAACTGTGCATACATAGGAAGTGTAAATGGCAGTGCGAACACGCATCGGCCCCTCTCCTTCCCTCTATGGACATTGATGCGTTGTGGCCTGCGTTGCCTCGTTCCACCCCGTCCGATTAAGAAGTGGCGTGGAGTGGCGTGGGGGGGACGGTTCCTCGCTACAGCATTGAAAATCCCCTGCTGCCGAAAGTGATGGCGAGCATCAATTTCCTTCGCAGCTCCTCGCAGCTCGGGTACTCGGGCAGGTCAATTTTGTTGAAGCAGGTGTGCGCCTGTGGGAGAAGATCAACGCTGTCGCCCCAACGCGTGATGGTGAACCGCTGTGTCGTCCCGCTCGCCGACTCCAAGTTGCTGAACCCACCATGTGGCACCTTCGACGCGCCAGTGGCAAACTGCAAAAGATTCGCGCGGTCCTCCTTCGTCATGGATGCGACGACCTCCCAGAACCACCGAATCTGAGGAGAGGTGGCGGTGTAGCCATCGTACAGCGTGTGCACACGCAAGTCCTCCACGTCAATGTCCGGCATGCCGCAGATGACAAGCTCCAGCTCCTGCGCAGTGAAATTGCGTATCTCCTTCCGCGGGATGACGGTGTAGAAGCCCTTAAGAAATTCTTCCATCTGTTGTTCAATTTGCCGCGTCATGTGAAACTCGCAACGCAGCCGTACGTACTGAGACTTGTTCGCATTCGTCACGGCAACGTGCCCACCATTTGGCACAAGCTCCGTCTCTTGAATAACGCCAAACCGCTCGCAGCTAACAGTGAAAAAGAGACCCAAGTCGTTGACGTCGTTCCGCAAAAGCCAGTTGAGATTGTCATACAACTCCGGGTCGACGCTCTCAAGGTCGCGGAAGATGGGTTGAACGCCTGTCATGTGGCGGTACACCGCACGCGTAAAGTGCACGTCGATGGGGACGCTGTGCGCTACCGCCATGCCCACAACGGTGCCCGCAAACTTGAAATACTGCAGGTGGTTCGGGTTGACATCCGAAAAGGGGTTCGGCCGGTACGTCATGCCCTCCCGAGAGTGAATAAAGAGCGCATAATCGTCGTTTACCATCTCCTCCGCAAGAAGTTGAAACCACTCCCGTGTCAAACCGCCCGCGTCCGCACCCTCCTCACCGCGGAAGCGCACATTTAACGATCCGTGAAAGGACTTTAGCTTTGAGAGTTGGGCGAAACTATCACGCAAACACTGATCACGGCTGATGCTCAGACTAATTCGAGACCCATGCGTCGTATGGCTGATGTGCCGCTGGAAGTCAAGCAGACGAATATTAAAGTCAATAAATCCGGGCTCTGTCTTAAGAAAGGCAAAGTTCTCCTCTAGCAGCTTCGGGTCATACTGAATGAGGGTGTTGATAGTCGTCTTATTGCGCTCCACAAACTGACGCACCAAACGCGGCAGCGCGGGACGTTCGTCACGCGTCGAGTCCAATGTTTCAGCACTTTCACCCTCTGAATTGGATCGTTGCTGTTGATACAACCGTCCAGTTTGCCGCAATGATTGCTGTGGATGTTGTGTTTGTTGTTGCTGTTGCTGTTGCCTCGGCCCGGCACGCGCGAGGGCGTTCACAGCGGCGTCTGAGACACTTGAGGGTGTGTGTGTGGTGTCCAGCATGAACCGCTCCGTCTCCGTCTTCTCCACCGTGGGGGTACTGTGACTCTCCATGACAAGACTTGCCGAGCACGACCCTCGTCGCGCCTCCGCCATGTGGAATTGACAGAATCGATTCAACAGGAGAAGTACCGCGTGCGGCAAAAGCACAGAAGAGCGATTTTGTAGCCGCTGCAAAATGGATGCCACCTCGGCAAGATACATCTGCGAGGCGTGCCACATCAGCGACACCTCACGCTGCTCGGGTCGAAGTGTCTCGGCGTACGGCAAGAAAAATGCGTGTGACTGACTCGTTGTGCACCGCAGGTTCAGGTAAGAAAGCGCAAAGCTCGCCTCTCGCGTGGTCCACTCCCTTCCAGCCGGGTCGACACCTGTGGTGGCGGCAACACCGGACAACGTCACGGCGCCGGGTCCCATCGCCGTCTTGTTAAGGAAAGCACTGCGAAACGCATTGAAACGTGTATGAATCTCCTCCGTGAGTTCCTTTGCAAGTTCGACAATAATGCGCTCAACCACCGCAATTGGACTGTGTTGATCCACCAAACTTGTGTCACGCCGTGCACTTTCCTTGATGCCTCGCCGGAGAAGCTGCACCGTCTGCAGCCCCATCTCGTTTGTACAGTTCCAATGGGAAAGGAGCCGTGCGGCCGTCTGCAGGGTCCCGTTTGATTTCACAAGGGCGTAAGCGCAACGACGTATGCGTTGTGACTCCTCCTCCGCAGTCAACGTTACAAGACTGCACTGTGGACAAAGAACATAGTGGCAGAGTGAACAGCAGAACGCAAACGTGTCATGGAACAGTTTTGTGTCACAGCAATCGCAAAGAAAGCTGCCGTTCGGGCATGGATACTGGCAAAGACTTGTCCACTGCAGCCGATGGGCGTGGCGTGGGTGCAGAATGATAGTGTTGGAGAGCGGCATAGAGGACTGCTCGCGCGGGGACCGCACCTTCACGGTGTTATCCTCCAGTGCCCGCAACTGCGCGTTAAGGGCAGATAAAATACGCGTAAAAGACAACTCCGCGCGCGGCGACGGAAAGCGCAGGACGACCTCCATAAGCCGTCGAAAAAGCCCCGCGTCCATTGCCTGTTGCTCCGCCTCATTGTATGGTTCGTCGATGGGCTTTGGCGGCCCGCCCTCCTCCACGCCATCAGGGAGCATCGTGAAACTCAGCCCGGCCGCGCGGCACCGTTCAATCAATTTCTCAATAACAAAAACCACCTGAACTGCAATGCGGCTGCGATCGAGCCCGGGACGTCCATCCGATGTCGGATCCCAAACGGTTCTCTCCAAGGGCCCATCCAGTGCCACAGTGAGCAGATTCACTAATGCCTCCGTCGCGCTTGCGGTGTTCACGCACACAGTTATGAGGAGCACCACGAGCTGGGAACTGACGGAAAGACTCGAGGAGGCGCATCCGTACTCCAGCGACGGAAAGCCGCCCTTCGCGAAGCAGATAAGTTCCATGAGCTGCCGAAGCACAGCAATTGGCACGGGGGGGACAGGGGCATGGGCACCCGTTTCACCATTTTGACGATTCGGTGGCGGTGGCACTTTTTCTTCGCGTGTAAAACGATTTTGCAACGCGCGGATGCGGGTGGTGAGAAAAGACTCCGTCACGCGGTTGTGGCCTCGCGGCGGGCGTCCCGGTCGCCGATTCCCACCACCACCACCGGCGTTGTTGTTATTGTTGTCTCTGAAGTTAATGGGTGGAGCCTCCGCGCCTGTTGGCCGAACGATGCGGCCGCCATGTTCTTCAAGAAACTGGTGCTGCAAGAACCATGGCAAATGTGAGTCCTCTGCCGGTGCCTGGAATAACTCATTGTACATCGCTCCCTCGGCTGCCCCATCACCGCTCAGTCTCTCCCCCTCTTCCCGTCCCTCCCGCAGGCGCCTGTCATCCTCCTCTTCACCTCCCTGAGCCTCCATGCTCTGAAGCTCGCGGAGTACGGTGGCCTCAGCAAGAAGAGCGGCGTTCCCCTCGAGATACCGCAAGTCGCACGTTAGCAGAATGTCGCGCCGCACCTCCGGGTCAACAGTTGCAAGAACTTCTGTAAGAAAAGTGGGCGCGTCGCCGCCCTGCGCACCACCAGTTCCTGAGTCTTCGCCGGTAACGCGTCGCCAGCGGTGCTCGACTTCAATGGCCTCCATTCGCATGTCTGGTGGTAATTGATTCATAAATGCAGCATAGATGTGCGTGCGTTGACCCCCCTCTTCCCGCTCTTGTCCGCACAAAAGCAGATTCATGTGATCAAAAAGCAGCTCACGGCGGAACGACTCTGGGAGCTCCACAAGAAAGTGAGGTTCGATTTCACCGAACCACGGCTGCTGTTCCATTGGGGGCTCCGGAGAAACGCTCTCTGCTGTAGATGATGCATTGCCAAAAAGACTCATCGTTTCGCCCACACCAGCAACAGAGGGAGCGGAATTCCGCGCCTCTCCCATGGCATTGGCATTGGCAGATAATAAGGATGATGACGATGGTGGTGGCACCGTTGGATCCGCGCCTCTGCCGGGCTCGGTGTTGCCAAAGAAGAGCGCACAGATGCGTGCGTTGGCAACATCCACTCTGCTGTTATTGTCCACTGTGGCGTTGATGGTCGTGTCCGTGGTGTTGGGCGCAGCCGCAGCCTCCGCCACCTGTTGGGTAGATCCGCCCGGCTCCTGGGGTGTCGGATCGCTTGTTGCGCCCGCTTCAAACGGCAACTCGGATGGCGTTTCGTGGCGGTCGCCGACGGCACCCGCGTCATTCTCACCGCTAGCTTCTTCAGAAGACGCGAACAACGTCGGCAACGGTGGCGGAATGACACGCGGTGGCTCCGAATCCGCTGCGTACAGCACAGGTGGCAGCGGCTCAAGCATCAACATTTTGTCCCACGATAAATCCACCGCCTCGTTAATCGCTTCGCAGAGGCTCACAATCCGCGAGAGAACACCATGACGGTCGCCCCCGCTGACCCCACTGTAATTCATCTCCATCGTCTCCCGCCGGTGCCGGCCAATGATCTCGAGAATGGCTGCGTGGCCCTGACCGGAAAACAACGTCCAATTATCGTCGTCAATGGGGATTCGATTCAGTGTCGTGGTGTAGTGGTCGTACTCCCACTCGGCGAGGCCATGAAGCTGCGATGACGTTAAGCCGTCGTCCCCAAACTCATCGGCAAGTCCTCCTGAGACCACGCCCGCCATATCGTTTGGCGTGGCACGCAAAAAGGGTGGGTGATCAATCACATATGACAATTCTTCTAGGTCCTCCTCTTCCTCATCCTCCTCGCCCTCTTCCCCCTCTTCTTCCTCCTCCTCGTTTTCACCATCGTCCTCGCCCGCGTCATCATCATCATCATCATCATCATCATCATCATCATCATCGTCATCGTCGTCTTCACCGCTCATGTTATCCTGCAAGCCCACCCGCATCGAGATGGGTGTTGGGGCGTGCCCAGGGATGTCAACCTCTTCACCGACAATGTCCACATCGCCCTCATCATTCTCCTCATCCTCTGCGGTGTTCACGGTATCTTCCTCATTATCATGGTTGCTGTCGCCATCTGAGTCGCCACGACTGTGGTACAGAAGCACGGACTCGTTGGGTCGTAGCATCTCACCGATATCAAACATAACTTCCGTCAGAGTTCCTTCATGATGCGATTGGAGCCGCCTGCCATCTCTAATGCCGTCCAACTCGCCATTCCTGCCGTGCTGATCGTGCCCCCTGACGAGATCCTCTAAAAAGAACGCGTCGTCCACAGCACCCGAGGGCTGCGTACGCGGGGTCCGAGAGACATCGCCTTCATCCAGTAGAAGCATACTAGCCTCATGCGCCGCCATCGAGTCGGCTAATGACTGCCGTGGTTGCTGCTCCTGCGGCGCTTGCGGCGGTTGCAGCGGCTGTCCCTGCTGTTGTAGCGAACTCATGGCTCCACTACGACCACTGCAGCCCTCCAACTGGGGACGACCATCCGACTCGGTATTTTTCTTATCACTCCCGCTGCTCTTCTTGCCATAGGTGCTGTTGCACTTGCCATACGCCAGCAGCACACGTCGTATGACTAGAAGAAGTGCCGCTGCGTCCCGTTCGTTGTTGCAGCACTTTTTCTCCACCATGCGGTACAACACTTCGAGGGCGTCACGCTGCCACAACTCATCGCAAAGCCGCCATACAAGAGAGCTCCGCGGAGCTCCGAGAAGCACCCGTAAGACGTGCAAAAAACTGCACGCCATGTCACTTGGAGAGGGATTTCTCAATGATGCATTTTCTGTGCTCTCTTCCTCTCCAGAAAAACGGTTTTTGCCTGGTGGTATGGCTTCCAACATCACTTCAAGCGCATGCAGAAGCACATGCACCAGTCGTGAGGGCGCCTTTTGTGCAACGTTAAAAAAGAACCCTTCGAGCAGCTCCAGCTGTGACTTCTCCATGAACAAAATCACCGCCAAAAATGGCGTCAGAAAAAGGGGCGCCTCCCGCAACACGGGAGCGTCAGTAAGCTGTTGTTGTTGTTGTTGCTGTTGATGTGCTTGCTCATCCTCGGCCGCCTTGCGCTCTGCAAAGACACCCTGCATACTCCCCGGAATCCGCACATTGACGTTGTATGACGTGACGATAGAAGCAACAGAGGGAAGGGTTGTGATATGGTTCAGCACGCTGGTGACAAGCGGCGGCACCAATGTCCGCCCCTCAAGACGTTGGATCAACATCTCCAAGACTTTCTCAACGGCCAAACGATGAGGAGTACGTGACCCGCCCATCACATTCTGGCGTGGTGGTTTGCGGGGCGCTAGCCACACAGTCGTCTTGACGCTCTCCTGCCCAATGCCGCGGTTTCCGATATGCAAGATGAATACAACGCAGGAGATGTTAAACACCGTATAGAATGCCTTTGGGTGCTTGTCAATGACGGAACGAAGCGCGACAAAAAAGTCACTAAGTACGATTGCCTGCCGGTGGACCTCCGCGACACCACGACCGTGATGCGACCTGCAGGCACTTGCGTGAGGGGCGTGCCGTGCACACAACTCCTGCACGTCCTTCTCTTGCAGGGTGTATGTACTGCCCATCCGTATCTCGTTTTGAACGGCGCTCACCATGGCCGAGTACACCACCCACTCTGTGTGTTCTGTTTGATCAAGAAGCGCCTTCATCACCGGCACACGTGGGCCCGAGCCGGACATGTCATTGCGTAGCAGGCGGGAAATGGCACGTACAATAAATCCCTTCTTCGTTGTTTCGTTTAGCTGGTACAGGTGCGACACAAGGGACGTCTCGGACGAGCCCAGTACCTTCGAAAGAAAATCCACCGCAATGTGCGTGACTGGGGTCTCCAAAACATGCAGCTCGCGCAGTTTCTTATTTTGCCTGCCTCCGCCACCGTTACCGCCGCGACCATCCTCCTCCGGTTCCTGTTCCTGCTCCTGTTCCTGCCGTTGCTCCTCCAATTCGGCGTCTTCTTCTGCCAAGTAGTCCAACACAAGCTCGGCACATTGCAACAAGAGATCATCAGGCAATATCGATGTGATGCCCAAAACATCGGACAGTCGGAGCTCCACCTTCGGTGCATCTCGAACGGCCTTCCTTGTCGAGTTGCTACCAGCACTGGTCAAAGATGCGGGGGAAACGGCAACAGCCTGCCCGGTAGGCTCCCGATTCAAGTTTTCCTCACTCGTCACAGATGCCTCCAGTTCAGCCTTCTTTGGGCAGTTCGTGTTGTTGCCGCTGACCTCGTCAGGACGCGATTTACTGCTTTTATTCTCCGACGGAGCTTCTTCCTCACAAGCGTCACTGTAGCCAAATCCCCTAAGAAGTGACGTGACAGATGCCACAAGACTCGAAGACATATCATATTTGATCTGACGACGCATTGGGGTCCGGTTCTGAGGATGCAGATGGCGACAGAGGTGGCCCATCCAACAAAAATTGGAAGGGCTGCTGCGGTAGTAAGCGCACACACGCATTTTCTTCTCCCCCAGTGTGTTTGCCGACGAGACTGAAAGAAAGCAAAAGAGTTGTCCCAACATTGCCTTGCGACGAAGCCGCTGCCTCTGCAGTTGGAACGCATCCGACGAAGACTCGTCGGAGAGTCGTTGAACCTCCGCTGTGACACAATCAAAAATGGCGCGGGGAAGTTGCGTCCTTTTAAAGAGCACAACAAAATATTTCTCCGTCTCCTCCTGTGAGATGAGTACTGCCAGCAGCTCCAGCAGCGTGTAGTTCCGCCCGGGATCCTCCAGAATGCGGCGGATGATGGGCAGCAGGATGACATGCCTGTCTGAGCCAGAGGGCATCGCAACTCTATCGGGCAGCTCCTTCTGTGGCGTGAGTGTAGTGTAGATCCAACACACCCTACAGCACAGGCGTCGCATTTGCTTCTGCTCGTCCTCCGTCACGCCGTCGGCAAAGCGCAATGTCGATGCGACGTCAAGTACCCACTCCCTCGCACATTCCGCCAGCGAGACGTGCGGCGACGAACACGGCCGCTGCTGCTGTTGGTCCCCAGAGGCGGGAAGAGAGGCGGGCGGCGCTGCATCATCTATCCCCTCCTCATTCGGCGAACGGAAAGACTCGGGCACCGTGTCGTCATCCCTATCCCCGGCAGTCCCTCCCTCCCGCGCAAGAAGTTCTGACCAAAATGACGTCAGTTGCACCATGTCCTCATTGTCGCCCTCGGCAATGCTTGAAAGGAATGCTGAAAGCGACCGGTCAGCGCTCACATCTAGAATGTCCGTACTGAAGTCAAACAGACGCGCGAGGACCCCAAGCGTCATTGCCGGTGTAAACATCAGACCGTGGGCCCGCCAAATGGCAAGCATAAAGTACAGGAGTGGCTGCACCCAGTGGCGGCGCGTCGAACTCCGCTCCGGCGTCGTCCTCAAAAGTAGCTCGAGAATGCGCGTCATGGAACTTACAACACTCGAAAGCCTCGAGCCCACCGCCCCGTCCTCGTCGGCATTTTCATCTTCCTCACAATTTGCAGTCATCGTAAAGGCCCCGTTATCGGTGGCGGCACCCATTGCCGTGTAGGGTGAGGACGCTGCGGCTAACGATGGTGTTAATTTCCTAAGAGGCACAACGCCCTCCGTGATGAACTGCAGGCACGCAAGAATGCCAGTAAAGAGCGCCGTAAAGCCGCCGTCCGCGTTGCCGCCATTCCGCCAGACAATAGAGATCGGACCCTCGGCAAACCGCATCCTCATTTCCACTTCTTTAAGCTGGGAAATATTCAACGCGTCAAGAGCAACGACTCGGAGAGTCCTCAATATCCCCGCACCACCCATACAGCCCTCTGCGGTCTCGTTCCCCATGTCAAGACGCCCCTGAACAGCCTTCATCATCTCTTGCACAATTTTCTTCAGGGCCTTCTCTGCCCCAGTCAGCAGGTGAGCCGTGCTCACGGGCAGCAGAAACTGCTGGTTTGCTGACAAGAAGCCATGTTGACGGTATGCCCGAGTGGGAGAGAAGAACTGTTGGCGGCGATCCGAGGACGGCTGAAGCATGAACGCAATGCTCTCACGGAATCGGTCGACCGCACTCAGCGTCCCCCGTTCTGCGCCACCACCACCACCATCACCAACAGTAAACAACGTGGCTGTAGCCTCCGGCAAACTCCGTTCCTCCTGCAATAGGAGAGAATCCTCCAAATGGCTCGCCCCAAACACCCATGGCCAGTCTGCGGGAACATCAGTCTCAGACGTGGTTGGCAACGACATAGCCGCGGGTGTGCTGAGGCGTGAGAAAGCAAAAAATATCCCACTCCCTTCTGTTGCGGCACGGTTTAATTCCGTGTCATTGCGATCGGCCTCGTTGCCACCAGTGGGGGAGTTGGTGGTGGTGGCGGCGACGGCTTTACCACGCGCCAATTCCAACGCAACGTATGTATCAAAGAGCGCATTGGCCAATTCGCACCGAAGTTTTGAGATGGCCGCCGGTGGGGATTGGTTATGAAACCTGCAGAAGAAGGCCCACGTCAACAACAGCAAAGAAGTTGCCTGGTCCTCGCTGAGACCGCCGTTCGGCGCCGATCCAGATGTCTGAACGAGTTCAGCAATCTTCGTTACATGACTGAGAATCACAGAGGAAATGTGGTCAAGTATCGGCAATGGGATGTTACATACAAACAAACTCAGTACGCTGCAGTTGGCAGAGACGACAGAAATACGGTGCGGCAATTGCAGGAGTGCGCGGATCGCCTGTGAAAGCGTTGATTTGTATCTAACGAGCTTCTGAGTGAGCATTTCACCTATCAAACTGTTGTGGTCGGGTGCATAGTTGCGCTGACGGCGATGTTGAATGCGGTGCGAAAGTTGACGGAACTCCGCTCCGCTGATGCACGCAATAATATTCCACATGGAAATTGCAATCTCCTCTGGTGGGTTTTGTCGCTGTGACGCCGCCACAAGGCCCTTCAGCGTCTCAGAGAAAGCCTCAAAAAAACTGTCCCGCAGATCAGGCAGTGTGCGAAGCAACGAAATGAGATCCTTCCCTGCCGCCGTCGCTGCTCGGGTGTTGACACGCAGTGGCGAAACCCCCGTTGACGGGGCCGGCGATGCGGTAGAAACGGGTACAATGAGCGACCACAAAAGACTCCACATTAACTGTGGCCTGTGAAGTTGTGCGTGCGTGCTGTTGTGCACGGCAAAGGCCTGCAAAACGCTGCAAATGTCTAACATCGGGATGGCCTGTTCATAGTACGCGGAAGGATCCACTGGTATGATGGTGTTGGCGTCTCTACCAGTGGTAACGCTGGCACGTTGCGTCGCGTCCTCTTCGCTGACTAGCCAGGCGTACGTCTCACAAATCCTGCCGTCCGGACTGCTTGATCCCGATGTCGTCTGTGGGCCCGTAGCGCCTCTTGGCTCGGTACCGGCTGAACCGACTGGCGCAGATGACAGTGGAACTCCACCTGTCCTCTCGTTGTACCGCCTGAGGATGGTGGGATTCTCGCCAATCTCCAGAATCGTCTGCAGCACACCCCGCTGCAGCAACGCGGGCACCACATCGCGAACATTGTGATGGATGCACGCCGAAAAAAAGCGAAAGGCAGCCGCAAGAAGAACGGGATGGCCATCACGGTGAAGAATCCGCCTGCATATGTCTTGGCACAGCTCGTAGCCATCCTCCTCATTGGGGGTCAGAAGAAACACAATTGGATTTATGTATTCATGCGTCGAGACGGTGGCGAGCCGTTCCAGAACAACAAAACAACAACGCAAAATTCTCACTGCCTCATAGCTCCAGCCATACACAATAGTCCTCTCCTCTCCAGTCCTCCTGCGGATATGTTGCTGCTCATATCCCGCATCACTCACCTGTTGCTCGTCCATGTATGCTCGCATCACCGCAACGACTGCGCGTACGAGGCCATGGTTCATTGCTATCGAAATATTTGTGTTCTCCCCCGTAAGTGCCAGGCTTCGCATGAGAAGCACAGGGCAGTAGTGCGGTTGAAGACGCAAGATATCCGTCAGTTGCGCCACCATAGCTGGAAGCGCCGACGCATGCCCGGTGGAGCTGGTTGGTGTGAATAGCGCGAGGTGGGTGCTGTGGTACTCTGTGAGGAGGCGGTACTGCCAATCCTCCGCGAGGCAGCAATGGCTGCCCTCCTGAAATTTCCGGTGCTGCGGGACAACACAATTCACCGAGTCCAATGGGTTCTGCACGTAGCGGATAGCAAGTAGGCCGGAAATGGCTGCACATCCTCGTAGTGCAAAGTGCCACGCGTGTACAACGTCTGCAATTGTCCCGACAAGCATCGCCGCACTCGGCACCGCCCCGCATGAAGACTCCTCGCAGTCACCACCGGGATTGTCGTCAAACTCGGCCTCCTCTAAAATGGTGGAAAAAAGCCTCTCCGTCCTCCAGACACTACGGAAGAAGTCACTCAATGGCCCTGAGAACACCTCTTCACGATCCGAGCTTGGTAGCAACTGGGAACACAACAGCCGACAGCGGCACCACCACAGTAACTTCTCTGGATCCCCCGCTGCCTCTTCCATGTTTTTCAGTACTGTCCTGCACATTGGCACGGGATCAATTTGACTTGTGCCGCCCCGCAAAGTCCGTTGCAGAAACCTCTCGTGAAGGATTCGCAGCGGATCTTTCACCAAGTGTGGAAGCTGGAGCATCGCGGCGTCCACATCCTGTTGGCTACACGCACCCGTGCGTTGCCTGCTTCGCTGCCGAGCCTGCAACGAACACCTCAAAACATCTTCAAAAGTGGGTGAGGCCCCCCATCCGTGGGCAATAACACGCATCAGAGCAACACCGTCCAGCGCCTTATCTGGCAAATGCGGCTGTGTGAAATTGATCAGCAGGCCGAGGTAGACAAGAGACGGGTCGCGACAGAGCAGCAAACGAATGTTACACGACATTGTAAGGCAACCCTCATCCCGCACCATACGGTATGGTGATCCCATCACCGTCAACAGCAGCAATATAGAGTGCAATTCCTTGTACACATTAGGTTCCTTGGATATCATTGTGTTTTCTTGCCTCCCTTCACGCTCCGGTTCCATCACTTCCTCCTCATTCGCCTCCAAACTAAGATGGCCTGCGGTGGCAGCGGCTGCAGCTCCCGCCCCGTCATCCTCGACAAGATCGGTGTCAACACGATTGCCTCCGGCGTCTTGACCGTGGCCCAGAATTTCAAAGACGTGCAGGCGCAACCATCTACACCCCACTGCCCTCAACAGCTCCACAAACTCCTTGGTGTACATGCTGTTTACGTCGCGGTAAAACTCCTCGTCGTGCAGCATGGCTTCAAAAACTTTTGGCGTCATTGCGGGATCCCCTAGACACGCCTTCAGACGTAATGTATATTGCTGAAGGACTGGCGGTGGCAACGGCAGATAATGCCCCGTCATTGTCTCACTATACTGGTACTGTGTCCCCATCTGTCCTCTTGCGGTCCCAATTCGCCCCAACATCTCACCATTCCACACCTTTCCTCGGCTGTTGTTTTTGTTGTTGCTTCTTTTTCCTTCTCTCACTCCTTCTCACTGATCTTCTTTTTGTTGATTTCTTATTTTTTTTTTTTTTTTTTTATCCCTTCCTCTTTTTTTTTTCTCTCTCTCTCAACTGCTTTCTCTGCTTTTGTTGCTGTT